TATTTAATTTGATTTCACTTTACTAAAGATTCATGATTTTTTTATAAAGCAAATTACAAAAACTGAATGGTATATTTTCTTTTTTCGGTTGTTTTTTTTTTTTTATTATTAACAAAATTTTGATAACTAAATTAATACTAATAAACAATAAGGATAAGAAATATGGGAACTGATTATCTTGGTATTACTATTAAATGCTACATATTATTTTTGAATATATTTATATATATATATATGACTATGAAAATTGGCGTAACTTCTTAAAGGTCCCCTCAGGGAACTTGTCGCCTCGATAAGCTTCGATAAATGAATGAATGTTATTGAGATTTCATTTTCGACGGCTTGTTTGATTTCTTCTCTTTATTTCGAGAAGATTGCGTCGATTGTGAAAATGAGGGGGTTTTTGGTGGTGATGATGATGGGCTATAACTAGGAGTACTTTCTTCAGTATCAGTTAGTTCAAGGGTATTTGATTTTTTAGGTTTTTTAGATTTTTTTCTCAAAAGATTTAAAGAAGGAAATATAGAGTTAAAATGAAATAGGATAAATAGTGCACGCTCAGAAAAGACCCAAATGAAAATCAGATCTAATCCTTACGATACTGATCCTGCTGCGGGACGTCCCCTTTTTCTTTTCTTCTGACTGGACATACCAGTACAATGATCACAGTACCATCTGCCTTCTGGAACTGCGGCAAGTCCAACGCAGTCAATATGATACCACTCAAAGGGACAATTCTGTTAAAAAAAAAATTAGTTTATAATAACTATTTGATGTAAAGAATAATGTATTTTTTATTACATACCTCTCCATCGCAACCGATCATTTCCCCAAAACTCACTTGGCGACAGGTACAATATAACGGCTCGTTTGGATCAACTGTCGGTATATAGTTTGACAAAACTAGAGTATTATCATATGATACTGCGGAGTCATCCTGATCCAAAAGGTTGGCATTGCTAACGACACTTGGGTTCGCGATAGATGAAGATCCCGGAAGATTTTCTTCGTTAGGCACTCTTAACTTATTTATACCTCTAGAGAGGTAACTGTTATTAATTGCGCTTGTCGCAATGTCGGTATTAGAATTAGTGTTTCCCTGAACATTACTGCAGTTTACAATATAAAAGGTCAATAAATAAAATCAAGTAACTGATATATTATCATTAACATCAAAACATACCTTAGTTTTCGACGTCTACCATTATTGGCACCGCTTGTTGAAGCTATTGACAATAGACGGTAGTTTAATAATAGCAGAATCTTTTTAGACATAATAAATGTAAAAAAATGTCTAATAATAAACGAGATCAAATCAAAAGGAACAAAGAAAAAAAACTGAGATGTTCGTACCCTTATTTGATCGGAGTAAAGAACTCGATGGGTTGGGTAGCATTGGCAATGCTATATAAGCAATAATATAAATGATTTATCTTAAAGAAATTTATATGTAAATCGAAGGTAACGTACAAAATTGCCCTTCCTCAGATTCAGCGCTTGAAGAGGGATAATATGATCCTTTATTATACTCATACGTCGTATTAGGGAAATTCGATGACGTGGTTTGTGCCAACATATGTGTTGATGCTGAATGTGATGTATTTCGAGCAGTCGTTGTTAAGGCAGAAGCGCTTGAATGTGCTATCCCATGAACTGCGGCAAACGCCGAAGATTCAATTCTACTAGGACTTGCAGGGGTTGACGCTGATGAATCGCGAAGATTGTGCTGCGGAAACAAGCTTTCACAATCTTCGTCAAGACGTTTAATATGTCTCTCAACCTTTAAACGTTAACAAAAATAAATCTCATATAAGTTTCTAAACGAGAAATAATGTTCTTATATAAATATAATTTGATTTATTTAAATTAACCAATATAACGTAGAATTTACCAATGCAAAAGTCCTTTCGGTAATCTCGACCTTCTCGTCTTGCAATTGCGCTGCCCTCACATAATCTTTAATTATTTTCTCTTTCAGCATTTCTTCATCCTCGAATTCGGTAACAACTCGTGTTACTCGACGTCGTTTCTTTATAATTTGTTCGCCGTCTTGATCGTCGTCAAAACAATGATCATCATCACTATTCGATTCCTCATCACCATCATCATCTTCGTAAATACTTTCAACGACAGAGCAATCGCTGTCTTCATCAATAGGAAGATCATCATACAAATTCCACAATCGCTTTTTACGACGTTCAATTCTTTCCATCAATCCTTTTTAGAGGGATAATTATGACAAATTTAAAAGATGACCTTAACTTGATTCCTAAAATGGAAATCCATGCAACTTTTTTACAACTTTACTTACGTTCAATTTCTTGATCCTTATTTGATAGTTCAGAGAAGTGATAATGAATTTCTGAAGGAAGATTATCAATACCTTTAAGGTATTTTATAATAAACACGTTAATTTACGATTGATTCATAATTTCATGAATTTTTAAGGGCCAAACGTCAATCAGTAATATGAAAGAACACTAATCTTACTTCCTAAGAACTGTATTAAATACTCGTTAGCGTCTATTGCTTCCATATTTACAAAAAAAGAATAATTAAGAGCAGTAAAGAAAAGCCTTTGTTTGAAAGATTTCACAATAGGAAAAGTTCAGCTTGTATTGATAACATCAGAATGAAATATTATCAACCGGAAGGAAATGAAATTAGTATACGATTCATGAACACCTATAAAATCATGAGGGGATAAATGATTGGTTGAATAAATCTGTGGTCAGACGGTCGGACCATAATATCACGCGTTGTACAACAGCAATGAAAGTTGCCGCATAATTTGTATAAATTACTAGATTTAGCAATAAATACAATAAATAACAAATATTACCATAAACCTATCGACAATTCTTCAGAACATAAATAAGAAAATGGAAATGATGAAAGGATAATGGAATTCAAAATAGGGAGTTGTAAGAAAAGATCAATGTCGATCGTTTTACACTTATCGGGAGCGCTCTAAGCAAAAACAAGTACGTGCAATGGCGTAGCATTATTTAAAAATCATTTACGATTCAAATGTGTAATTATACAGTCATTAATTCATCACTTTTTGCTTGCCATTAATAAATTTATTTTTAAATATAAAAATCCCAAAATTTTTTCAACAAAAAAAAAAAATCCCAAAAAATTCGGTTCAACGTTAAAAAATAAACCCAAAACAAAATTGTATTACATAAAATCTAGTATAAAATATGGCATCAGGACCTGTAGGAGGAGGAATTGCAAGATCTCGTTCGCTATGGCGTTTCTTATCCATTGATCCAGAAATTTATCCTCTACTTGGGGTATTAGCAACCACCTTTGGCATAGCTGGATATATGGTGGGTCGTAAAGCAGCCAACACAAATCAAGAGTCAAATGTGAAGTTGGCTACCCATGAACCATTTCCTTGGCATGCTGGTACTAGTAATCAAGGACGTGGAGATAGCACGGGAGGAAGTAATGATGGAGGACAGGATTATAAATATAAATTTCATAAATTTGGAGATCCTAATCAAGAGGCCATTAAAGCTCCAAGTGCCGACACTTCACATATCGTACAAGTAAAATTGCCTAAAGACGATAGTCGAAAGGTTGAAGAAAAGTTTGGAAATAATTCATGAACATTTACTATCTGTATTAATAATACTTGGTGTTTATAAGCAAATTTTTGATAGTTTTGACATCTGTGTAATAAAATTGTAGGATTACTTAGTTTTGTTTCCGTAGTCATTTCATAAACTTACGTAATAAATATTGCCCTTCGATGGGTCTTATGCAATTTTTACTTTCAATATGATACTCTCGAATATTGAGGCGCAGATATCGCATAGTAAACGTACAAAACATGGGTTAAATTCGGCCAAATTGAATTTGCTTATGTCATCGACACGTCATTGATCAGCTTTTACTCTTTTAAGGCATTTGTGAGACAAATAGCAATGCCGTTTTTTTTCTCTATTTTTTTCGAATGGAGATATTGAATGAACTGTCGAAAGACAAACTTTTACCTTCATTATTTGTATTTGATATCGATTATACGCTTTGGCCGATATGGTATGTGTTTATAGTAAAAGACGCAAAGGGCGTATTGCAATAAAGTAAATATATTTCTTTTCAGGATAGATACTCATGTCTCCGGCCCTCCTTTCAAAGCTGATCCTTCAAACCCTCATTGCGTTAAAGATAGGTACGAACAATTAATTTATATCATTTAATCCGATTTTTGATTTAATTTGAATTTTCCTCTTTACAGACATGGAAAATTAATAAAATTATACTCTGAAGTTCCAGAAATTTTCCGATTGATTAAAAACTGTTCTCGACCACACATTGCTGTAGCATCAAGAACTCATGAACCAGAATGGTACACATAATTTACGTAAAATTCGTTTCACTGATTCATAAACATTGCATTTACTCTTTTTTTTAAAAATAATTCGTTAGGGCACGCAAAGTCTTATCTATTATGCCTTTCTCCGCGAGTAAAGATTGTGATTCCGTTAAATTTCCCGCATCTAATTCGTCTAAAGGCGTCAACTATCGCTCATTAGCTGACATAATTGATTATGATGAGATATATCCTGGTTCAAAGTTGAAACATTTTCGTTCGCTGCATAAGAAAAGTGGAACTCCTTATTATGAAATGATTTTCTTTGACGATGAAATAAGAAACAACGAGGTTGAGCAAGAATTAGGAGTACATTTTGTTTACGTTCCGAAAGGGATGACGTTAAATCTATTTCTAACAGCTATAAAGGATTTTGCTAAAAAAAGAAAAAATCCTTAATTATCATTTTATTATTAGAGTTAATTCAATAATATATAATATTGGATTACAGTTAAGAAAAAATTCCTATTGACGAGTATGGATTTATTTAATTCTTCCTTATCATAATTGTATTCCTAATAAATTAAATTAGTTTTTCTCCAATTCATCAGAATCATATGGCATCATACATGGCATATATTTTGGAAAAATAAAACCGTACATTAGTCCCCAATACAAAATTCCTAACAAAGTACCGGTAAATTTCTCCCATAAAGTATGAAAATAAACTGCGGTCATAAGTAACATCCACCACCAAAGGAGAAGTAGTCCTACGAAAAACCAATTAAGAATTTTATTCTTCATTGTTTCACTCCAATTATTTGATCGATGAAAAAGAACGCTGGCTTCTTCCAACATAAAAAGAGAAGCATGAATCAACAAAAAACAATGACCACTAACATCATGGCCATTATTCCAATCTCCCCCACCCCTTCTACAAACATGAGCTTCAAATGTTTCTGATGTTTTATTGGAACATACGCCTCCGGTAATAACAAAAACTCTATCCATTACACTTGGTCCAAAAAACCATTGTGTAAATATATACCAATACAGCGTTGCGAATCCCCAACGAACTATAGATTTAATTTGTTCCAGTTTGTTATTATGAATTACTCTTATCGCATATATTATAAAAACTATAGTCGTCCAAAACCATCCAACTTTTACAAATAATTTGTTAATAATGTTGGACCGGCTTGACCAATATGACTCGGGCATCCGTGCTAATGAACCGAGCACAACTGTAAAAACATAAATCAAACCTAGAAAAATTTGTCTTGTTTTTATCTCTAGGTTCCGTTTATATTCGAGTTCTCTCTCTTTCTTTGTTTTCATTTTCAATTGTATTGAAACTCCCACCATTTTTTTTTATAAAGGATAGGAATAAAGATTCAAAATTTATAAAAAAAAAAACCATTTCGACACGTGAAAGTTTCATAATTTTCAATTAATTATTGCAAATTACCTTTTTTTTCTATTTATGGTAGATAATAGATCCGTCAGTGATCTGCACGATGCCGATTAATACTATAATCAAATATTCTTCGACACATTTTGCGTCAATGAAAGGGTCATCTTTAGAAGCAATGACATAAAATTTACTCTTTAATAACCTCGTCATTATTTCAGAACATATAATGTCAGTGGATCATACACCAGATTCGCAAACAATTGGTCAAGATGTCGAGGAGTATGTTCTGATTCCTTAGACAGCTTGCTTAAATTATAATAGCAAAATATACTGACGTATCGATTTAAGTTTTTCACAAAACCTAGAAGATTCGAGTCAATCACCTGGTGATTTGGACAATTGTTCCGAATCATCGCCTATACAGCTTTCGGATATACCAACAAAGGGAGTTGTGGTCTGTATATATTTATTTCTCTATTTTTTTTCTTAAATAAATAAAAATATATTTATCCTAAACTCTCACCTTTAGGCGTTTTCAATACTCTGTGAATTATTAGATGAGTGCATATTGGATGTAGCTTTTGAAGCTCATAGAGAAGCTAAATTGGCTGCATCTGTATGCCATTTATGCAAATCGGAGTAAGTTATCGAAATTAATTAATTATAAAATCTATATATATATATATATATATATATTAATGAGATTTAATTAATTGACTTTTTAGGTGTCGATCGTTTGGTATGTGATATAAAATGTTTAAGGCGAATGTTTTCCTACTACTTATGAGAAAGTATCAATGAGTAGTAACCCAACCGGGATTGGATATCTTCGGAAATCATCCTCAACAAGATAATTCACCGACATTTGAATGTGTAAATTGTCAACGTCCCTTTCCATCAAAGCGTTATGCTACACATTTGGAAAAGTGTATGGGTTTAGCGGGAAGGAGTTCAAGTCGTGTTGCGAACATGAGGTAAATAATGATGAATATCTTTTTTTAATTTAAGGAGGGATAATTTATTAGATTTGACCTAAATTTAGAATGGGAAGCGAGAGAAATCCTTCATCTCCATACACTCTTACATACTCTGAAGATAATTTAAATCAAAGTGATTCTGATGGAGGTTTATACATCGAAAAAAAACGTAGATTTAGTACTTATTTATTTGTATTTAATTATATTTATGTAAATTTATTTAAGCATAATATTAATTAAAATTTACAACAGGCAGGAAATTAAACGACAAATCAAGAGTATGATTGTTACTTTGTTATATTCATGTTATTTCTTTTTTTTTAAAAAAAAAAAAATAAATTATTCACTAATATTACCTTTACTTTAGGGACAATCTCCTGCTAAGTATACAAAATCAAAGAAACAAAAATCGATAAGTGAGTAGCATATGTTTGGTTCATGGGATAATTTAGAATTTAGATAATTGATAATATATGGTACATTTTTTAAAGTTTCAGAAGCTGTGGAAACTTCTTCAAATATATCGTCAAAGGTATAGAAAATTAAAGAGTTATATATCATTTCATTTTTTTGTAATTTAAATACTAACATTAAATTCAATCATTATCTTTTATTTTTTGGTAATTTTTTAAAACAAAAAAAAATAGTTGAAATGTAAGTGTAAATCTGCGTTAGAAAATAGTAACCCTTTTTTTTTATTTCTCGATAATAAGGTTACTCTAATTAATAGTACCATTAAGGCTATCAGTCAGTTCAATTTCAACACCGAATAGTCCAGATCGAGGTAATTCGCCCATTAAACGATCATTTTCTATGAATGAATTGAATTTTCCAGATGAATCTAAAGATATACAATATGGAGATAATATTTCATATAACGGGTGTGCATATATATTCACATGTCTCGTGTAACATAATTTTATTTTTATTTACTATCCTTCCTTTTTTAGTAATTTTGCATCAGTGGAAGATACCTCAACACAATCATCAGTTGCAGATAATGATTATATTGGTATGGATACATAGTTATATAATTAATAATCCCAATCTTAATTAGGTGATACTAATTTTGTCTAATTCCTAAAAGACATTGATGGAGATGATGATATAATTGAAGTACTTCAAACATCCAATGATCCAAGACTTTTATAGTTAAATTTTATACCAGTTTCAAATATAGATTTAATTTTTTTTTTGTTTATTCAATTTATAAAATGAATATATTTAATATAAACAATTGGTTTACAAGATGACCTTGTAAATAAAAAAAATATATTAGAATCTTTTTCAAATTTTTTTTTTTTTTTATTATTTATTAATGCTCTTTTGATATAGAATTTTGGTTTCCCTCGGGATTTTTTTTTTTAAAAACAATTTGCTGATTTCTCAATTGAATATTTTTTTAAAAAATTTTTTTTCTTTTTGTAATTTTTCATTCATTATTTGAGAAATCATAGCATTTTGATATTCATAATGATAAAGATAGTACATAAGTTATGAATGAAACAATTTGCATACACATAAAATAAATTAAAAAAAAAAATTGCAAATCCAAGTTATAAAGAATTTTTTTTTTCCGAATCTAATATTATATTATTATTATTATTATTCTGTTCCATTTACATCATTCTCCTTCTCATCCTTTGTTGCTTTATTCTGCCAAAGACCATAGCTCTTCCCAGGGGTTGTCTAAATAATATAGATTAAATTAATAAATATTTATCAATATAAATTAAAGAAAAAGTTTTATTCACAATAATCTTACCTGCCACAGTCTTATAGTACCATCCTCTGTAAAATATAACATTATATTAATAGATATATAATTAACAGCGCCAATTCAAATATAATTGGGAATTACATACCTGAACCAGTGGCATAAATTTCACCATCTGGGCTATAACTTACTGTGTGAATTGGTCCATGATGACCCTTATATACCTCTATTTATGTAATTTACGTGGAACGCATAGAAATATATCAATTGAATGCACTTATTCAGAAAACTTCAAGAGGAGGTGAATAAGATACCAACCGAGTTCCTTGCCACTCTCAAAGTCATAAATCCTCACCCATAAGTCATTACTGCCGCCTGCCACAAACCTTTTGTGATCGGGATGTAAAGATACTGAAGACACATCATAGGCGGTTGGGACTGACTTAGAAACTTGATAACTAAATTATAAACAAAAAAATTTAAAAAAAAATTTCAATCAACCAGAAGTCAGATCTTAACTAAATTTAAGTTATTCTTACGTTGAGGCATCTAGAAAATAAACAATTTTTCCAGCTGTCGATGTAATGTATTTGCCATCGGCAGAAAGTTCCATACTAGTAATGGGGTGTTCAGTCTTAAAAGTGTGAACTTGATTAAAACTACGAACATCCCAAAAACTATTATTTTTTTTTTTGAAAAAAAAAAATTTGTTAGGTTAAAAATATATTTTAATTTAAATTTGATTATTAGGATATTTTATAGAAATTTACCGAATTTCTTTATCATCTCCTGCACTCATTACAACATTTCTTTCACCATCCCAAATAACACTCTTAATAGTAGATTCATGCCCTTCTGCTTCAGAAGCTGGTTCTTCTGGTTTGTTCAAATCAAATATTCTTAGTTTCTTTTCTGCTCCGCCAGACACAATGCGCGCTCCATCATCTGAAATATCTGCTGAACGAACAATGTGCCCATGAGTAAATGAATGAAGAACTTCTCCAGTATAAGTATCCCATACTTTACTATAATTTATATAAATTCAAAACATATAAATTATCGTTAAATAAGCTCGATTTAAAGTTAATTCATAATTAACCCATTACGTACGCGGTAAAATCAGCTGAAGCCGTCACAGCTTTAGATGCATCTTTGCTTAATTTTGCACTCCAGACAGCTCCTTTATGTCCCATAAATGTACCTATCCAATCACCCGTCGGACCATCTCGAAGCATAGGATTTCCATCTGAGGTAACGAGATTGTATGCGTTAGAAAAAGTTTTTTTTTTATTTATTTAATCGCAAAAGGGAAAAAAACCTGTATAGTATACCTTTACAAGCACTTATCAAATAATAAGTACCGTCAGTGATGGGAGAAAATTGTAAATGAACAACTGGTCGAGTATGCCCTGAGCATGTCAAAGGTATTACTCTTGAAGGGTTTGTGATTGGTGATTGAGGAGTCGTCGTCATATTGAAAATTGAAAATCGAGATTCTATGAAATAAAAATTTTTTAATCTGAACTTTGATTTACTTTATCGAGTTTAAAAGGCTATATAAGTTTAATAATAAATAATATTTGCTAAAATTAAAAATTTCAAGAGTTTAGACAAGCATCTATGAAAGGGGATTGTTGCATATGATAAAGAATAATAAATAAATATAATATACAGTTTTTTTTTAAAAAAAAAAAATAAATTAAAATTAAAATTAAAAAAAAAAAAAAATTTGTCAAAATGCTTCCTCTCTCGAGAGAAGGAAGTTGTTTGATTTTCAGCATATCAACACTAAAATTTTTAATCAATTTTTGTAAACCGTGATCGGTGGCTTAGCGCTATATTAATTAATTCATGTTGTCTCAAATAAGAATATGTAATATTGGGTCCTTTACAATAGGAAGGAGTGAAAACTGCCGGGAAAACCAAAAATGTATTAGATATCGAAAAAAAAAAATATATATATATTTATATTAATTAATTTAATCAACCCATTTAAAAGGTATTTAGGTAGATCAAAAAATGATGTTGCTAAATATTATATCATCTTTTAATGACTTTGGTAAAAAATTTTATCTAATCAAATTCTATTTCTTGTATAAATCATTATATATAATAAATAAAATTTAATTTATCATTGACTATTACCTTTAATAAGTATTATTATATTTTAATAATATAAAAAATTTTTGAATTCAAATAAGATTAGAAAAGTTAGTCTTAATCTAATCCTGATCCTAGAATATATAAATCCTATTAA